GGGGCACGCACACACACGCACCCGGCATGAGTTTTAAGCCACCAGGTCCGGGACGCAAACCGCGGTCGACTACGTGGGAGTCCAGCGACATAGCCATTACACTAACTGCTGGTTCCCTCTCATTGGCTATTTCAAATGTGGCTTAACCAGCTAGACACTACCCCCCACTAATCTCTTTCCTGCATTACCTTGGGCAGGGAACTTTCTGCCCTGATGGGGCTTTTCTCTCTAGCCACATGGGCAGAAAGTCTAGCCTCCCTACCCGCTTCCATTCGCTAGCTTTCTCCTGCCTTACTCCCAAATCAGTTGTATTACAAAATTAAATATTTCTTATTTTTTAAAGAATTACTTTATTTCAGTTTATTATTTATTTATTTATTTAAATTTGACCAGAGAAGGGCAAATTGTGAGAGAGAGAGAGAGAATGAGAAAGTAAACTGCCAGGTCTGGGACTCAAACTGTGGTCGGCCACATTGGGAGTCCAGTATCCTCAACCACCATGCCACCTGCTGGCCCCCAGGTGTAGCCTTTCTGAATATCTGTTTTTCTTTCTTTTTTTTTTTTTGTAGGGCATGTGTATTTGCCAGAGGGACAAAGACAAACAGAAAGTGAGTAATCACCCCCCAGAGGGATGGCCATGTCGTAATCCCTACTCCTCCATTTTCTACTCAGGACCTTATACACACACACACACACACACACACACACACACACACACACTGGGCAGGAGTTTTTAAGCTCAAGACTCGAACTGTGATCAATTACATGGGAGTCCAGAGACGTAACCATTACGCCATCTGCTGGTCCCCTGAATATCTTTTTTTTTTTTCTCTTTTGGGGTGGGATTTTCACTACAGGGCACATGCGTTCGCCAGACAGACAGAGAGAGACATAGAGACAGCGAGGAGAAGGGCTAATCCCCTGGGGGGATGGTCACGCCACAATCCCTTCTCCTCCATTCTCCTCTAGGGATCTTGGGCACACACGCACATGCACCTGGTGTGAGTTTTAAGCCACCTGGTCCAGGACGCGAACCGCGGTCGACTACGTGGGAGTCCAAAGACATAGCCATTATGCTAACTGCTGGTTCCCGTCCCCTGAATATCTTTTAAGAGCCCCCACTTGCTTTAAGGTGCCCCCACTTGCTTTAAGGTGGAGGGCTTTGGGGCAGGCAGAAGACAAGTATGTACTATCTAGAGCTAGCATGAGAGCAAAACCGCAAGAGCTTCGGTGTTACCATCATCCAGCCCTTTCCTGCACACGAGTCTGAGACAGGAGGGAGCTGAAGTGAAGGACATTCCAAATACCGAAAACCTGACAGACCAGAAATGGCAGAGACCGTCTGAAGCAGCTGGAAGCATGATGGTGCCCGGAAGAACCACTGTGTAAGCATTAGGCTCATTACACCCTCATCGTACAGTACTAGCATGCTGGACCACACTCCAGCTGTGATAGTGAGACACGCGTGTCTAAGATAGTTCAGAAGAGCCGTGGCAATGGGGGGCCTACCTTAATGAGGCTAGAAAATGGGAGGGCCAGTGCTTCAGGCAAACCACCACCCCTTTCCCGGAAAAATCGTGAAAAAAACCGCCCCTTAATTAGCCCAGCATAAGACAGCCAAGCAGGAGCGCTCTGCCTATATGGAGTAGCTGTCCATCCTTGCTCTCAGAGATGCAGTGAGACTGTTCGCCCACCTCCCCTCTTGCAGCTGCCCCACCCATGGAGTAGTTAGCTCTACATTTTCCTCAATGAGCTTGCTTTGGCTCTCCTCCAATGACTTACTCTTGAATTCTTTCCTGCATGAAGCCAAGAACCCTTACATCTGGGTAGAAACCCCCCTGGGTTGGGCTACCAGCAACACGTTTACTCTATAATAAAAGCCCCATGCACAGGCCAGCATGTGGATGGGGGCTGAGGTGCTGGACTCCCACATGGCCGACTGCGGTTTGAGTTCCAGACTTGGAAGCTTGAAAATCATGCTGGGTTCAGGACCAGCAGTTGGCATAATTGCTGTGTCGCTGGACTCCCATGTAGTCAACCACGGTTCAAGTCCCAGACCCAGTGGCTTAAACTCATGCCAGGCGTGAGTGTGTGCACGCCCAAGATCCCAAGAGGAGAATGGAGGAGAAGGGATTGTGGTGTGGCCATCCCTTCTGGGGCTAATTTCTCACTTTCTGTCTCTGTCTCTCTTTGTCTTTCTGGTGAGTGCATGCGCCCTATAGCAAAAACCTCTGGCGAGCGCATGCACCCTATAGCAAAAACCTCTAAAAAAAAAAAAAAAAAAAGAAAAGAAAGAAAGAAAGAAAAAGAAAAGAAAAGAAAATCATGCTGGACGCGTGTGCCCCAAAATCCCATGAGGGAATGGAGGAGAAGGGATTGAGGTGTGGCCATCCCTCAGTGGGGGGGGGGGGTTGATTTCTTAAATTCCCTCTGTCTGTCTCAGGCAAGTGCCCTATGGCAAAAACCTAGAAACAAACAAACAAACAAAATTCCAGTGCAGTGCTTTGTTGGCGTGGTCTTGTTCTCACTTCTAGTCTAACCAATCCCACACTCTAACAGAAACTCAGTCCCTAATTTGCCCTGTCTTTAATCCCAAAAAGTAACTTTTCCAGAGCTTTCAAATGTACTTAGGGGGGGAGGAGGCAGTAGGAGGTGTAGAGGTTAAGGTGGCTGGGTCTCACATGGTCAAGTGTGTGGTTCGAGTCCCAGACCTCCTGGCTTGAAAATTATTCTGGGGGGCCAGCAGGCAGCATGGGGGTTAAGGTGCTGGACTCCCATGTGACCGTGGTTTGACTCCAGGACCTGGTGGCTTGAAAATCACTCCAGGCATGTGTGTGCACATTTGCCCAAAAATCCCAAGAGGAGAATTGATTGTGGTGTGGCCATCCATCCACTGTCTCTTTCTGGCGAACACATGCACCCTATGACAAAAAAAAAAAAAAGAAAGAAAGAAAGAAAGAAAGAAAGAAAGAAAGAAAGAAAGAAAGAAAGAAAGAAAATCATTCTGGGTGCATGTGCATTTGTGCCCCAAATCCTGAGACGAGAATGGAAAAGAAGAGATTGAGGCATGGTACTCCCCCCTTGGGTGGGACTTTATCACTCTCTCCCTACCTTTCTCTGTCTAGCTAGCTCGCGTACTCTGTAAGAAAAACTTTAGGGACCAGCAGTTAGCATAATGGTTATGGTGCTGGCCTCCCATGTAGTCGACCGCGGTTCGAGTCCCGGACCCGGTGGCTTAAACTCACGCCAGGTCCGTGTGCATGCGTGCCCAAGATCCCGAGAGGAGAATGGAGGAGACGGGATTGCGGTGTGACCATCGCCCCTGGGGGGTAATTTCTCGCTTACTGTCTCTCTGTCTCTCTCTGTCTGTCTGGTGAGTGCACATGCCCTATAGCAAAAACCTCTCAAAAAAAAAAATACTTAAAAAAAAAAAAATACAATGTTTAACGGGGCCAGCAGGTGGTGTGGTGGTTAAGGTGCTGGATGGACTCCCATATGACCGACTGTGGTTGTTGCCCTGAATCCGGAGGCTTGAAAATCACCCCGGGAGGTTGATTTCTCACTCTTCCTCTCTCTATGTCTCTCTCTGGCAAGAGACTGCACTGTATAAGCAAAACTAAAAACAAACAAAAACTCTAAACACTAAACATATATTATTTTCAAAACAAATGTAATGCTAACTCAATCTACGGAGGCCAAAGGTACCTTGTGAGTGTCATGGGTGAGGCTCGACGGGGCGGAGCAGGCAAAGGGTCCCACGGAGGGCCTGGAAGGAAAGTCCACAGTAGTGAATGAAATGTGAAGGAGGCCCTGGGGGCAATGTTTAGAGTGAATGAAACTGAAAGCACTGGAAATCTTCGGGGACCTCAGAAGATTAAAGTCTTCCCCTCTTACATGGTTTCAATTGAGACTGGCCAGGCAAGGCCAGATGCGAGGTAGTTTTCATTTAAATAACATATCCAACCAAGGATTTGGAAAGGAGATTTTCAGGCTTTGCACATCCTGGGAAACACGGAGAGGCCCAGGGAGCTGGGGAGTGGGTTGGGACGTGGCGGTAACCATCTGCAGCAACTGCAGTTGCAGGGCTAGGCTGGGACCCGAGCTGCCATGGAAGTGGGAGCAGAGGGAGGGAGAGGCGCACGGCCGCTAAGAACCTTTCAGTGACTTTGTCATTTACTTACAAGCTCAACCAATCTCCATTGAGCTGTGTTTGGAAGCAGGTTCAATACATAGTGTATAACTGTATCTTACTGATTTCTATAAATTCCCAACTGTTTGTGAATACGAGTCAGGTGTTTTGTTCCTTGAGGGCCAAGACCCACAGGTCAAGATTGGCCGGCAACAAGGGAGAAAGCCCAAATGGCCTCACAGAAAATTTCCGATTTCTATGCTTTCTGTATTCCTTAGGCTGGGCTCTCCATTGCATGGAAAGGCTTGGCTGAGCCCAGGGAGGGGTTGGAGGGAAGAGCCCAGAATCCTACCATCTAGGATTAAATCAATGAAGGAGGTTGGCCACGTTCATCAAAATTTCTTCTTCTTGGGAACCAGCAGTTAGCGTAATGGCTATGTTGCTGGATTCCCATGTAGTCAACTGTGGTTCGCGTCCCGGACCCGGTGGTTTAAAACTCACACCAGGCGCATGTGCGTGCGTGCCCAAGATCCCAAGAGGAGAATGGAGGAGAAGGGATTGTGGCGTGGCCATCCCCCCTGGGGGGTAATTTCTCGCTTTCTGTCTCTCTGTCTCTGTCTGTCTGTCTGGCGAGCGCACGTGCCCTATAGCGAAAATCTCTCTCAAAAAAAATTCTTCTTCTTCTATGTAATCATCAACAGGCGGATAATCAATGATTTTCTGAGGCTACCCATACTCCCTCAAACTTCTGCCCCGGAGTCCAGGCCAGTTTTGTTTGTTTGTTTGTTTTTTTTTTTTTTTTGAGAGGTTTTCGCTATAGGGCGCATGCACTTGCCAGACAGACAGAGAGAGACATAGAGACAGAAAGTGAGAAATCACCCCCCAGGGGGGATGG